GCACGTGATAAACATCAATTTTATGATTAAAAAATGTTTCTTTCATTACGGAACATTGTTGATGCGTTCGATTCGTCGCGTTCATGAGTGCGTCTAACGACGAAAAGAATTGAAATGAACTTCACCGAATGCGCTCATCGCAAATTCGTGTTTTACTTTGTTTTGTTAGTGTGGTGCAGGGGTTGTGCGTTGAACGCGGTTGACAACGTCTTCTTCGCCTCTTCGCATTCTTTGCGTAAACGATTCATTGCCTTCTCATCGGAACGCAGATTTTCATTGAGCTGCTTTTGAAATTCTTCCACGAACTCGTTGACCAAAAGATTGTCGAAATCTTCACCACCCAAGTGACTGTCACCATCAACTGCTTCTACTTCAAAATTGCCTTCATATACCGTCAGAATGCTCACATCGAACGTTCCACCCCCTGAATTGAAATAGAAAATGAAATATCCATTAATTTTATATTTAAAATTAAGAGAAAAATAATTCAATCAAACGCATGATTTGAAAATTACCTAAATCGAAAATGAGGATTTTTTGAGGGGTGTCTTGTTCAATCTTACCGATGCCATACGCTAAGGCGGCAGCAGTCGGTTCATTTAAAAGGCGCTTTACATTCAAACCAGCAATTCTTCCGGCATTGAGAGTAGCCTGACGTTGTGAATCTGTGAAATATGCTGGAACTGTAATGACGGCGTCGGTGTGTTTCATACGCATATTCGCATCAGCGGCGTCCTTCAGTTTTTTCAAAACCATTGCCGAAATCTGTTCTGGGAAGAGTTGCATCACCTCGCCTTGGTATTCAACCTCGACTTTCATCTTTTGGTCAATATTTTTCACAACGAATGACCAGTCTGTAATGTCTTGTTGAATGACTGGATCATCGAATTTACGGCCGATTATACGCTTGATGCCAAAGACTGTATTTTTGGGGTTCATGCCAATCTGTTTTTTGGCATCATCACCGATGAGACGTTCTTTCTTAGTAAAGGCTACGTACGATGGCGTTGTGAGTAGGCCTTTATCGTTGGCAATAACTCTGGGTTTCCCATTTTCAAAAATAGAGACGCAGGAGTATGTCGTGCCCAAATCAATACCAATGGTCGCAGGTGTAGTCGCAGCCATCTCTAGAGCCGTCTAAATGTTTCAAAATTGAAAGGAGCAAATCAAAAAACTATACATTCATAAAAAGGTAAATTTGGTGTAATTGGCACTCAATGTACAGAATTCATAAGAAATCAGAACGGTTTACATCTTGTCTGAAGCGATTGAACTGTATAACTGTCTAAAAGGTCGTTCAATCAATTTTATTCGATTCTAGATCCGATTTTACTCCCAAACTTAAAACCAGCTAAGTTTGAGAAATTGGCTAAAATATGGTAATTCAATCCATAAAATACGTGTACATATGTAATACTGGTTTTAGTTACTGCACGAATGAATTCAGTTCAGTGTGTTTTGGGGTATGTATGAATAATGGAAAATCAAACAAAAGGGGCTAGTTTCGAATAGCAACAAAAAATTTCCTATTTCCATTTGAATGTGCACAGTGAATCGGAACACGATCGTGACTCTCGTCCAGACAACACAACCCCTACAAATTGTGAAAATACTACAAACGCAGCAAACGATTTGGAAAAATGCAGGGGACACGGTCAATACAAATGCGGAATTTATGAGTACGACTCAAATATTTTGAACGCAACAAAGATGTTGAAAAAATTTACGAAATAAATCATATACAGAAAAAAAATTACTTGGCTGTGTTATTTAGTATAAATCTAGGTATAAACTAGGGTATAAATACTATCAAATTCTATGACATAAGAGGAAAAACCCAAATTACTTGTAAATGAGCGCAGTATCTTTTATCATTTTTCGGCTTGAAGTTTGGCCTACAGATGTTCTCAGGACGTCAGCCAAAATTTCAATCCCTTCTTATTTGTTTTTATTCGAATGTATAGTGCAAGCATCTAGGCAAGCATACAATGAATGATCTCGGAAAATATTGTGCAGTATCAACAAGAGGACGTGATAATTTCTTTTGGGGTCAATGTTTCTTTTCATTCTTTTTTCAATTTTAATCATTTCATAGAGTTTTTTCATCGTGTTAACAATTTAAATGACGAAACCGCCATTTCGGAGACATTTTTAGCGAAAAAAAAAGAATTAAAAAATGTTACGAATATGTAAATAAAAATGATTATCGTTATCTCAGTTCTGAAAAGAGATTTGAATTGACGATAACAGACCGATTTGTTAACATTCCAAATGAAGCCATTGTAAATGGTGCACATGGGATGATTTCATAGTTGCTTTTAATGTCTGTCTTGGATTGCACACAACGAAACACGGTCCCGTGGCGGAGAGAGCTAGGGAGAGAGCGCTCCAAGGACGACTTTTACGAAACGAATTCACACACAGACGTACATACACACGACCACTCACATGATCATCGTTAATTGCTATTCGAAAAGCTTCATATAAATACGTGAGCAATCTATTCAAATGATTTTTCTCCTAGTTTTTCTCCGCAAGAGTATTGACACAATCTCACACACAACCGAGCTGTTGAACTAGGAGCAGATGCTGTATCGTTTCTTTTTCTTTTCTTCTTTTTTTCGGGGGAGAAAGAGATTTTACTACAAACTCCGAACTACAGCAATTGGCAAATATTTGGAAAGCACAAAAAATGTCACCAAATTATTTTAATTATCAATTCCGAATTTTATCCAAAATGGATCGATTCGAGGTGATAGCACTCGGTAAATTTGAATTTTGATCTGATTGAATTTTAATCTAGCGCATAATGATGAATACAAGATCAAAATGTAGAAAATCCATTGCACATAAATTGAATTCATCACGTGCTCCATTTCGTTCGTTTAACGCATTTCTCCAATAGTTTTGGCGATCGAAAGTAGTCAGCGAAAGAGAAAATAAAAATTTGGTGGTTAGGCAACAAACCGATGCAAGTGATGACGAAACAGCGCATAAAATTCTAAGAAAGGCGAGGTTCTCTTTCAATGTAATTGAACTTTTTCTTCTGCTGAAGAAGGTTTCTTTAGCACTTGAAAATTTTACACACACAATCAACTAAACCATACGATGACATCGTCACACAACCTAGCACACAACCAAAACCAAAACCAATCGTTAGCATAATTAAAACACTCGACGAAATAAAAAATTAGGTACGAGAAAAAAAGTTATGATCCAACGAAAATACCTGTTGTATCGTGCTGTTTCGATCAAATATTGCAAACGAAATAGCACTTAATGGAAATAATCCGTGATTTTTGTTTCTCAAACAACACAAAACCACGCTAGGTACAACTATCAAACGAAACTGTATAACCAACTTTGCACTAGAGCCGAATGGCGATAACAACTCATCGGGTCGATTCAGTCGGTCTGCGTGAATATTTGTCATACATTTTAATACAGTTGTAAGCCGTTTTCTATTGACCGTACGTGTGCAAAGAGAGAGCGACAGAGAAGGAGAGAGCGACGGATATGTGTATATAATTGGCTGTAGCGTAGTACAAATCGCTTCGTACCGACGTTTCGAACAAGCGGGAAAAACCTCAAAGCGAAAATAAAATGACATCGAAATGTTCTACATAGTCACCGACACACACTCTAGCACACAATTGAATCGAAAATGATTTGAGAAATGGTGCCTGACACCGAATGGAAAAGAGTTGTTCGTAAAAGAAACGGAATTTCTTCAACAGAATTGTATTGAAATTATTTTTTCGGATGCGGTGCAAATTCCGACTAGAACTATTGCGACTGACACTAGGACTGACATTAAGGTCTGTAAACATCTAAGCAAACATTACACAAACTCTAGCACACACTACGAGTCAGAACGTAGAGAGAAACGAAGCGAGTTTCATTCATATATTCGTCTCGTTCACACTATCAGTACAGTTCCATACTAGGTTCCATATAAGCGTCGTTTTGACACTTTCTTCGATACTAGCTTCGATACGATGCCTAGTACGATGCGCACAAACACAGTCACACACTCGCTAGCACTAGGTGATGCGTCTCTCTTAGCAAGTCTCCATACCGAACGAGCAAACCGAGTGCTTTCTTGTATGGACTGACTGACTTGTATTGAATGCTAGATTGAATGTTTGGGAAAAAAATTCTATATGGCGAAAAAAATTCTACATAGCTCTTTGCCATTTAGTTCAAACGAAATTTGTTTGAAGAATTTTTTGGCGCGAAAATGTGTAAGATTTTTTAAATTATTCGACGCGTCGAAAAGTAATTATGCAGTTTTGTAGGGAAAATTAAAAGAATTTTTTTACAAAAAACGGCTTCGCGCTGCGACCAAGCGTTGCCAAGATATTTGATTTTTAATTTTTTCATCGAACATTTTGTCCAAGTGATGCTTCATACACGCCATTTTCTTTGTCGATTTTATGACGACATCAAATGCGAAATACCCGAAAAATTTCAGAAAAATCGATAAAATCAAGCGAATGCTATCGGGATTTTCGTCAATTGATTTGAATTACGCCAATTTTTTGAAAATCAATACGAATTTTCCAAGAGACACGCTCTTGTCATCGAATATTTATTTTGGTTGTACGGGCAAAGTTTCATAGAATGTTAATATGGCGCATACAAAATATAAGCGAACAAAACCCACGCCAATAGTGGTTTGGAAAAATCGAAATATTTTACGTAAATCCGATCTAATTTTTTGGTTTGTTTCGAAAAAAGGTCCTCAAATGATGTAAAAATAATTTGTAGAAATGGAAAAATTACTTACCAGAAGAAATACACAGTGAATTTTTACAAAGAAAAAACCAATTAAAATTGCTTGATTACAACAGAAAACGGTAAGCACGACTATTCGCTAGACTATTCGTTCAAGAACTACAAGATCGAACTGAACACGTAGAAACGTACACTGTGCTTGTAATACGAAGCTTGATACGAAGCAACGACGAACGAACGGAACCTAGAACGGAACGCATTTGCCAATAACAACGCTTAGTATTGCAGCCTAGATTGCAGCATCAAAACAATAAAATTTTTAAAGCCGGTCTCAGTGTGCGAATGAAACGCAACGATATCCGGCATGCTAGCCGGCATGGGGCGAGACGCTAGGCGAGACGAGACCACCGTATGTTTCACACCACACAGTATTGACCTAGGTATTGACGGTGTTCAGCCATACGACTGCAAAACTGTTGAGAGAATTCAAAATGTACGTGCGTTGAAGGTTTTACTTGGAAATTTTTACTGATGCGTCCTTGGTCTGCTGCACTATTTGTTCAGAAAAAATTCATTTCGATTATGGATTAGTTTGGCGGAATTGTTGATTAATTTTAAAATGAGAATCGCTCATCAAATATTTTCGAAAAATGCGTTTCATTTTAGAGGAAATGGTCGTGAAAGCCAAGCCGTTTTCTGCCATGACAAATGTACTACACTGTGGACGAAGTACTAGATGAAGTATTCGCTTGGTAGAGAGTCTAGTAGAGAGTTTGTCGCACTGTGAACCGTCTCTACTTTTGTGTTTGTACCTAGGTTTGTACGCTTCTTTTCGCTATGATAATATGAACCAAATGTATGCCATGAAATTTCCTAGGAAATTTGTTATGAAAATATTCAAAGCAATTCTCTTTAGGTTTTTTTGATGAAAAATTAATTTCATCAAAATCGCATCGAAAATCTGATGAAGCATTTTTACACAATGTGCCAAATTCGCCTCATTCTGCTGACACATTCGCTTTGACATGTTTGATATTGGCTTTGATTTTTGCTTTTTTTTCTCTTCATCATTGACAAACAGAGCTAGAAACAGAGCAAATGCTTCATGATTTTGTTCACATTTTTAGGTCGATTCATGCTAGGTCTTTATGCTTTGAAAAAATGCAAAAAAAATACAAAGCGCAAATAAAATGACATCGAAATCTAGATCGAAACACAGCTAGAAACACAGTCACCGATACAATTGAATCGATGATGATTTGATAAATGGTGCCTGACACCGAATGGAAAAGAGTTGTTCGTACATTCATTCCTAGATTCATTCAGTTCAGTTGTTACATACAAACAATAAGTTTTGTTGAAAAAAGAATTTAAATGTCATACCTGTAAACAGCTGCGATTTGATATGAATTTGTTCACCTATTGTTGGATTTATTTTGCAATTTCGATGCACAATGCACTTGAAAAAAAAGCCTAAATTGTATAACAATAAAATAGACGAAAACGAAATAAACGAACTGAAATAAACTGAAAACAACACACAGTAAATATCGAATATGTCCAAAACAATCGCTTCGCACTGAACAATTTTAGCAATTTTCCCAATTGAATCTGTTTTTTTCGTTCTGAATTCGCGATGAGAAAAAATATTTCACACTTCCACTAGCACTTCCACCGAATTGGTATCGAAAAATTGCTTGGCAGCCATTTTGAAAATTTGTTGTATATTATAACACTAGTTATAACATTGAGTGAGTATGTGCGGACTAGTGTGCGGACCTTTTGTTTTGCTATTTGGATCTAGATTTGGATGGTTTGCGTGCGTGTGTCGAGAGCACGCGCGTGTATGTGTATCTAGATGTGTATATTGATCTAGATATTGATGTATTGCCTAGTGTATTGCAGTACGAATACTAGAGCAATAGCAATTGTAGCAGAGGCTGAAGCCTGAGCTGAAGCAGCAGCAGTAGAGGCACCAACACTAGCACCAACACACCTAACGCACGCACACATTGAGACAATGACTAGAACAATGAGCAGTATAATCGAGCGAGTAGTAGTAGCTTTGGAGTAGAATCTACTCCAGCTGTAGTAGGTCGACGTTTTCGGTTACACTTCGGTTTTACCTAGGGTTTTACAGTGTAAACAGCGACGTGGTATTGTATCTAGCATTGTCTAGAGTATTGTATTCAATGTACACTGCTATTCTAGCTGCTACTAGAGCTGCTATTGCTCACTCATTATATTTCCATTTCACCTAATGAGCGAAGAAAAGAAAAAAAATGATAATCGAGAAAAGTCAGTGTATGTCTAGGTGTATGTGAACGCCGTCGATACACTGAAGAGAAAAAAAAGAAGGAAGAATTACCCAATTTTCGTTTCCCTTCTCAACTGCCTTCGTTCGTTTTTATTTTGAATATAAACGTTCGCTTTAGGCCAATTTTGTCATTTTTATTTTCCTCTAGATTTTCCTACAGCGAAAAAGAGAGCGCTATGCCGTTGCGTGAGCAGCATTTTTTAAATGAAAAAATAATATGCTTATCAGCAGTGAACCGCTTTTCTAGCCGCTTTTTAGGTTTAAAAACAGAAATATGTCGATTTTCAGCCTAGTTTTCACTAGAGTTTTCAGCTCTGCAGATGCCTAACCCTGCTCATTAACGCAAACGATGTGTGACTCTGTCTATTTCTAAGTCCATTTCAAGTGTTCATCGATTTTTTTTTTCGCTTCAAATTCAACTGCCATTTCGATGTCTTCTTCTCGGTAATTTATTTTTCCAATTTTAATTTTTTTTCCTTCTAATTGGTTGCACTTTTTGTTTTGCCTTGACTTAGAAATTCTTTTCTATGACTTTTGCTCCTGATTTTTCTCAGTTCAACATTTTTTCTCGCTTCTTTTCGTATTTGTGTTTAATTTTTTGCTAATTTTCTTAAATTTATTCCTGTTATGTTGTTGTTTATTTTCTTGGTACAACCGCAATAAAAAAAAAGAGCACAAATATTCAAACAAACCTCCGATGCGATTAGAGAGAGAGAGAGTGACAGCGGTCATGTGCTGGAAAATAGCATGCTCGTTATTTGAAACAGTTCCCATTCAACAGTTTAATGCTAGGTTTAATGAGTGTAATTCTGGCGACAGTTTCACACTCGCAGATGGCAAACACACAAAATACATTATCAACGATGGAAATAAGTGGGGGATTGTTTTTCGTACATTTCAAACATTCCGTGGAGCTGTTATTGGTTTTCGTTCTTTTCTCTCGTCTGTTTTTACTATTATTGTTGCTGTGCTTAAAATGAAATACATCACGAATTGACTGGTGAACTTGCATGTCAACATTCGATTTGTCTCTGCTCGTTGAAATTTAAAAAAAAAAAAACCAAATGTGTCAACACTTTCAATGGATAAACCAATATCGGATGACTTATTCTCATTTCGGAGAGTTAGAATAGAGGGGAAGAGAGCGAGCAAGAGCCAATATTAAAAGAACGCATTTGCATTTAGTGGCAAACACGATTTCGATGCGATTTACATGATGTTTTTTTACGAGAGAAACATCTTTTCTCAACACAGCCGACTATCGATTGAAGCAATTTTATCCTTTGTGCAGTAGATGTGCATGCATGAACTACTGAATGCAGTTTTACCAATAACGATCGACTCCATTTATTGCCTCCAAAACTCCATCAAGCTTCAAATTTGACCAAAATGTCTTCCGAAGTGTCTAAGTTAGACGGCAAGAGAGTCGGTTAGATAGTAATGCCTCAAGTTTAATGAATACCGGCTTGGAAATGTTTCATTGATAATCATTTCAAATGAGTAATTGGACTGAAACTTTGCATATGCAAAACGCAAGCCATAGCTCGAGAACGACTCGATTCAATTTTTCATTCTTTTGATTCACAGCATTCGTTTCAATCAAAATCCATTCATATCGGATTGCCCTCATTCACACATCTTCAACAGACACTTCACCCTAACTGCATGATACTTACCGCTTTTGGCTAGGCTTTTGGTAATCAGTGGGTCCGTTCAGAATATGAAATAGAATTAGTTGTTGTCACCTGTTTTACAGAGAGTAATTCAACGGCAATTTGTGTCGTCTGAAATGGGATATTTTCGTATATTAATACCAGAGAAAAATGGTGGAAACGTTAACCACATTTGCCATACCTTACTCCGTTCAGCTAGAGAGTATTGCCGGTTTGTGCTATTGGAATTGTCTAATGATATTGTGTGTTGTTTGCTAGGTTGTTTGTGTGTTTTGCAGCACAGTGTGTTCACTTCAGTCGTAGCTTCAGTCTCGTTGTGCGCGTCCAAGGCCTTTCCGTTCCTTCCTTATTTTTCTCGGCGATTTTTTCTCGGCTCGTTCCTCCTAGCTTTCCTCTCTGTTCCCAACGTATTTCCCTCTTCGGTAATCGGCGTGTTAATTGTCATGAAATTAGCAATTCATCGTGTCGATTCTTGTCTCACGTGCCTCTCTATCTTGCTCTCTTTCTGTGTGTGTCTTATTCGTTTTTTTTAAATGCTGTTCTACGCTAGGTTCTACGTGCGCGCAGCAACGAACAAAAAAAATGTATATGTAACAACACTTTGGTATTTGAATATCACGATTTGATTATTTGTGTATCAGCGGCCACGAGCAGCGTTTGTCCTCTGTTCTTTTCTAGGTTTTTTTCTTTTCTTTTCTTTCTTCGCTTCTTCTCTTCGTCACTCAAATTGTGTACAATTTACATACGTTATTTGTCATTAACATTTGATCTAGCATTTGATGTGCGGCCTAGTGTGCGGCGTCACAGTTGGAATCGGCTTGAAATGAATCCTCTGTATCAACTGCTAGATCTACTGCTGCCCGTAACGCTGTTATTTATGAAATCCAGATACGATACGTCGTTCGTCGGGTCGAATGGTTGACTCACAAATAAAAACACAATGTTTTATGCTAGGTTTTATGCTCCAACGTCAACAAATATGGCCCTAGATATGGCCAGTCAATCGCTGTTCGATTGGTTCACGTTAACTCTAGCGTTAACTCCAAACAATAACAACAACAATTTTTCCTTTAGCGGCTTAACAATGTCGGCTAGAATGTCGGTGTTGTATTTGTTTCTCTCTTTCTCGAGACATCAAACACTTTCAACAAATAAGTTAGCAAATAAGCAGAAAAAATGTTACAACAACTTAACTCTAGACTTAACTTTTCAATTCTTTTTAAAAATCACAAAACGGAATTTCTGCAACAAAATTGTCTAGAAAATTGCTAGGAAAATTGTATTGAAATTATTTTTTCGGACGCGAAACACTAGGCGAAACTCAACCAACCGCATTTGAGTTACAAAAAAAGTGTGTGGACCCTGCATTTGACAATTCAATACCGTCTGTGTTGCAAGACGTACTAGAGCATCTAGTGTGTCGTTCACACTAGCGTTCACATTCACACTAGTATTCACAATGATTTTTCATTTACGTAAATAGCAATGTAAATAGCAAATCAATCTAGAAACTAACTGAAAACTAGAATGAAAATTTCTGCAGTGAATTAAACATAAATTAAATTAAATTATACATTTTTTTCAAATTTTGGAAAAGAAAAAAGTAGAAGAATATAGAACGTTTAACTCACGCCGTCTCCAGCGCCATCTAAAATGTCATTGCCACTGTACGCAATGACAAATCGTCAAAAGTGGTGAAAAATGGTTCGAAATCGTAGAAATGTGTGAGTATTGGTTACAATGAGATGATAAATGTATGAAATTCTATTTTTTTTTACAAAGTGGTCATTTGTGTGAGTGCGAGTAGCCCCTAGAAAAAATGTACCCTGTTGGCAAAAAACCCTTGATTTTGCGATTTTAAAAAATGGTGGGGAAATTCGGAATACTTCATAAATGGATAGAAAACTGAAACAATTTTGATGCAAAACGTTTATGGAGTACTAGGAAAAGACAGAAGAATTAATTTTAATGAGGAAAAAGTTCAAAAATAGCGATTGTTGTTAGTCGGATCTGTAATTGTTGAAATAGCTACCGATCATTTTGGTGCATTTCAAGTGGACAGCTCGATCGCATAAATTGCAATGAGTATTTTGCCAAAATTTTGCATGAAATAAAATAAATATGCATAAAAAAGCGATATCAACTTGAAAAGTATTAAAAATCACTTGATAAATTTTTCGTATATAGGGCGTTCCGAAATTCCCCACTCACTAAGGTTTACAACATAATCGTGTTTTGGTCAGTCAATGAATTTTCATGCAAAATTCCTTTTGTGAGTCGAAATATTAATGGTATACGATAATTATAAACATATTCGTCTGAGTTGATTTTTCGAAAAATGTTATGGAATCAATGCAGACAGGCATTCTCAATATTAAATTTTCATGACTTGATTTCATGTTGATGACGCACACGTACACACTCGTCGAGTGCTAATGGAAATATGAGGTTTTGTTTAGAGAAAACGATGACAGTTATTCACATGTCTCAAACTATTCATTTGCGGCGAAATTTGGCGGTGTTCCGAATTTCCCCACGTTCCGAATTTCCCCACCTTCCCCTAATTAGGGCATCGACGAATTATGTCTAAAAGATAAAGAACAATCAAATAAAAAAACTTCTTTCGAAGTAATCCCTCGTGACGAAAGCGAAGACAAAACAGCTGATATCAATTTAAAAAAAAATCATTACGGAGCGATTCTGAAATTAGTGGGAAGAATGCAAAAAAGCAAATCCAAATCAAAAAGTGGCGGAACTTATCGGCGACAGGTGTGTTGATGAAATAAATGAAATCACCTATTTTTGATTTTTAATTTAGTAAATCTGTTAAGTTCGGTATAGTACAAGAAAAGACGTGTAAACTTTATATTATGATTGAAGAATATTTGCTTACTTTGCAAAAATGCAAATTGTTCATTGAGATTTCGATTTTGGTAACACAACGATTAAAATGATCAATGTTCCATGTCTAACTCGATTATTAGCTAATGGTTCAGGACAAACAAAAGGCAAATACAACAGCCGTCAACAGCGAGTACAACTACCAATTGGTTGGACGTTTTGCTATTAAATTAGTTTAAGTAGCTTAAATGTAAGTTAAGTAACAGTAGAGTATTGAGCTTCATGTCAAACCTACTGTTAAGTCTATACCTTAATGATTTCCACAAAAATCAATAGATGGCGTTAGGGCCTAGCATTTGCCTTATAAGAACGAAAACTTTAATTGATATATGTGATAATTTCTATTATAGTTTCAACTAGCATATCTGGAATTTGCTATTTGCCAATTTTGCAAGCGCGCTATGTAATTAACGTTTAGTCAAGTTGCGTATTGCAACAAATAATCGTTGTTGTGATATCAATGATGATAATGTAACGAGACATTGTGGTGAAATACGTTGAAACGTTAAATGGTATAAATCGAGTGGATATTTGATATTATCAAGTTATTCTTTTGTTTTCACTCCTCTGAACAGGCAGCAATTTTGAACAGTCCGGACGTTAAATAAAGATTCGTGGTGCTCATTTTCATTTGGAAAAATAGGCTCTGAAAAATTGATAATTTGCACGTGCTTTTTCGTGGTAGTTATGCTAGGTGTAAGCTCTGGCCTGCCCGAAGGTTTTGTATATCTAAATCAAATCGATTCGACGATTATTCGAGCGGTATATCTCCACGAAAAATACGCGCCTCGAACCGACACCAAGTGCCGAGTGTCGACGCCTCATGTGTATCAAGACAGCGATGCGGTACTAATACATGCGCGCGAGGCTGAACGAACATACCGCTGAATACATATACGCACACACTTCGTGAGTGTCGCGCGCGAAGTGTATACGAATGCGTATTCGGCGATGTGTTCGTTCAGTGTCGCGTGCATGTATTAGTACCGCATCGCTGTCTCGCTATGGTTATACATGTACGTACACACACTTCGTTAACATCGACACTGTAAAAAGAGCGCGCGGCGCTTCTGAATAAGCGTAACACCGAATTCGGAGAAATTGTCGTTTCAGATCTGTTGTAAACAAAACCAAAACAAAAAAAAATATTATTATTGCTTGTCAAATTTGAAGCATGGCCAATATTACGAATTATTTCAAATCAGTGAAAACGGCTGAAATAAATGAAGTTTCATCAACTGAAAATCTAACAATAGCGCAACAATTTTACCAACAAGAACTAAAAAATCAACAATGTGCAAAAACACAATGCATCGATGCTTTGTCGCGATTGAGAATTGCGTTAGAAGAAATCGAGAAAAAATGTGCCAAACGAAAAGAACAAATTGAATTTTGCAGAAGCGTAATCGAAGAAAAGGATGCAAAAATTGCCACTCTCCGAAACTTGCTTGAAAGTGGCCGGTCTCAACCCGTTTTATCAACCATCGAATTGCACACCCAACGCACGCAAATCTTGAGTTTCGCTGGTTTTATTGAATTTACCGAAGAGCAATTGGCTGACATCCGCTTGGTCGGTCCAAACAAAAACGAAGATTCAACATTTGTGTCGGTTGCTCTACGCAATTTGTACCACGGCCGACTTGATACATTGGCCACGAAAACGATAACGGGTCGAAGCAGAAAAGAAGAAAAAAAAGGAATTTTAACGCCAGAAAAGGTTGATGTCATCAGACGAATGTTTAAGGAGAGACTTTTGGATGTGGTTGGTGGACCGGCACCAGAGACAGAACGAACAGAGAGAGATAAAAAAGTAAACAGATACATTAAAGATGCACAAGCTAATATTACCAAATCGTTGAAATCATCTCATGTTGTTCGTAAATTATTTGAACAATAAATCACGAAAAGCATTGAATTCCTTTTGTTTTCATACTTCGAAAAAATTTCAGGGTAGAACTATCTGTATGAACATCGAAAGGTAAACAGGTGTTACGCATTTTTTTTCTCACTCAAGTTTCGAAAAAAAACATTTGATATTCGATTGCTGAGATTGAGGAGATTTTTTTCGTTGCTACTTACATTTTTATGATTGTGTGTTTGTGTGCATTTTTATGTGTGATTTTTTTGGTCTGGTAGCGGTCAATTTTATTTGAATAAAAATTAATCCTTTTCATTTATGTAAATAAGTGTACAATATTGAATTTTCAGTCGACAAGCACGTCAACACAAACGGAATGTTTATGCATCATTTCACATTCACATTCCGCCAAGAACTCACACACTACACATGTACACATGTACACATGTACACAACCACATTACTTCAGACCGGCTGATAATTGCAATTAGAAACTTGAACCGTTCATTACCAATATGTATGACAACAAAGAATACACTTCGAATAGTATGCGGATAATTCGAATAATTCTGTCGGATTGTCAAAGAATTTTACTCCAGGCGAAAAAAATGTTTGTAGTCAGAAAAAAGAGTCGGTCTGTTTCAGTTTGTGTTGTTGTTTTGTTTTCGTTTTAAGCGGCATTTTAATTATTATTACACCAACAAAAGAGACAAAGCAAAAGACGAAATGTGCAATGAACAAACCCTTTAAGCAGCAACAACGACACAACAAAAACCGCGCTGTGAAAATCAAATAAAAAAATGAGAACACAACGAATTCTTGTATCATTTTGGATTGGTACATTTATTTGTGTTGAAAACCAGCAGCAGCTGTGATTCAGAGCTTGATTTTTTTTTATTTCTTTATGCGCAGAAAATTTTGTCTTTCAATGAGATTTAATTAATCGGTTGGCAATGTGTCTACGAAATCAGCAAAATTGGCACAAACGAGGGACAACTCTCCATTGGCAGCCCATTCGTCGATTTGGTTGTTGACCCATTCCCCATCAATCGATAAATTGGGTTGGTCGACGGCAACAGTTTCTGTTTCACTTTCGTCATGGAGATCAACAACATCTTCGGGTGTTTGTGTTTTCTTTTTTGGCGATTCTTGCAGTTGAGTCTCCAATGCCTTCACGTGAATATTCAAACTGCGAACTTTCACTTTCAACTTGGAAATTTCTTCACTTTGTCGTGCGATTTGTTTCGTTTTTGGAGTGGCCTCTTGTTCGTCAACAAACACAATCGATGTGTCAGCTTCAGCTGCTGCTTCGGTCGGATCGGTCACATCATTCGATTCATCTTCTTCGTTTTGGGCAGCATTTGCTGCCGGTGA